CCTCTCACTCTCTAAACTGAAGATTATTCTTTTCTGTTGTGGAAGATCAGATAAAACTGCAACCACAGAGCATACTAAGAATACTCTCCCGAACCTAGAGCTCTGATACCAGTTGTTAGGCAACTGGCATTAAAAGAGAGAATAAAAGGATAGAAGAGAGAAATAAACAATACTAAGAGTATTTGTTTTTGGTGTGTCTTAAACCTTACAAGGTGCCTCTATATATATAGCATAAGGAAGAGGCAAGCATTACAAACTAAGTGATGTGGGACTTAATAAGTAAGTTAAACTAAACAATGTGGGACTACTTCAATTTTAGAACTTAGACTACACACTTAACATACATTGGGGGTTTGGCAAAAACCCATAGTCTGGTTGGTGACTGCTTTCCAACAAAATATATGCCTATGTTAGACAGATCTAACCAACTAGGTTTAAGCACTCGTCATGTGATTTGATCCATTTTCGTCTTGTGGCTTGGCATCAAATATTCTCTCTCTTGCCACTGTTGCCTACAAAAAAATACATATATCCAACACCTATAGTCAACACCACCAAACATACACTTGTACAATAATATTCAACAAAGAAACATATTGGATAGTTAAAGAAACAAGAATTGTGTGAACCTGTTTATTCCAGTTGGTAAGAGCAGTAATGAGGGAAAGAAAAATGGATTGGACAATGGAGCCTGCAACTATTCCGATCCAAAGGCCCCTTGCTCTCAAATGTGCAACAAAGCCAAGTACGCAACCTACAGGAACTCCTACCAAATAAAATGCTCCAAGATTCACATATGCTCCAAGATGTTGCCACCCACTTCCTCTAGCAACCCCTGATCCATGTTTTTTAATTTTTTTTTTGGTTCATTAATTGTAGCAAGTTAGCAAAAACAAGAATGATAGTTACCATCAAAATATAAGAGGGAATTAAAACACCACCATGGCACCATTGCTTCTGAGAATCGAAAACCATATCAAAGTACTTCATCTGATTCAAATATAAAGGGAAGAAAAACTCTAGAATGACTTTACTATTTGTGTATCTTATTTAATATCATTACTTCTAATTTTGACCATTATTTGTTTCAAGATTAGTTATCTTTTTAATTATTCTAATCTCATGAATTTTACCTACAGAAATTAAAAACATTTTATTTTAACTCTATACATATTTTTTTTAAGTCTATATATAATTTCATAAATTTTATATTTTAGTTTCTAACAATAAATTATAAGAATTAAAAGGAAAAAATGTATATATAAATAGAGATTAAAATTGAATGTTTTTAACTATAAAAAAATAAAGTTTATAAATTATATGAAGTAAAAGATAAAATCTATGAAATTAGTCTAATCAAAGTGATAATTAAACCTTTCTTTACGATACTAAGCAATTATGATTAAAAACAAGCAACAATATAATTTTTAAAGGAGACAACAAAGCAAAAAAGAATAAAAAGGGTAGTTAGTTAACCTGAAAGAAGCGCTTGTAAGCTATCGGTAAAAATGGAGAGACATAGCAGAGGGGTTAACAGAGCCGCATAATGAACAACTACACTTTCGTTGCTAAAGGCATAACCCAAGAAATGTCTGCATCCGAATAGTGTTGCACTTACAATGAGACCCTCTGCAACTGCAAGCAACATCGATGCAGAAATAGCCACACGAACTGCTTCTGGATTCCCTGCTCCTAATTCATTCGAAACTCTAGTGCTGCGTGTCACATACAACTATTGTGTCACGTTTTTCTATGTTTGTTATTACATGTCATGGACTAAAAGTCTAAAACATTACCAATTTATCATATAGTTTGATGAAGTGAGAAACGGACCTGGCAGCAGCCCCAAACCCGTAGGGTATGGTGAAATGTAATGTAGAGATTGTTAAGCTGATCACAATATAGGAGAAAGTTAGAGAAGTGATTAATTTTGTTTTCATGATCAAATATATAACATGGTGGCTTTCTCATAAATGAAATCCAGCATTACCATATGGACAGAACTGATGTCTCCAATGTTGGGTTAGGAAAAAGTCCAGCCAGCAAAACTAGTATCTCGCAAGCCCACCATTTAAGACTGTAAGATGAAAATTTGTGCATGCATGGCAAGTAAGTAACCATGTTGGCTAAATAATTATGATCTGGTTCAAGTTTATGATTTTTTAATAGTTAACAAAGAGGGAGGAGGAAGAGTATTAGAAAAAATATAAAGTTTTAAATAGAAATAGAAAAGGAGAAAACAAAGTTACCAAACCATGACTGCTGCAGGGACAGCAAATCGGAAGAAGTCTCCGATACGAAGGAAAGCATTGGTTGAAAACGGAAGGCGCGTTCTGTGACAAGCAGAGGAGTATCTGACAAAGGAGAAAAGCAGAATCACGTTTAACCAAACGCAAACGCTGAAAGCAATGGCAGCACCAACGTGTCCCAACCCGAGTTTGAACACGAGGCTCCAACACATTGCCACGTGGAGGCACAAAACAAGAGCGGAGCTTAGCATCATGGGAGAAACCAAACTCTGTGTCTGGAGAAAACGCGTTAGGGGCTTAAGAATTGCTGAACCAAACAGAGCGGGAATTAGCCAAATGGCGTATTTACGTGCTTCATGGGATATGGAAGGGTCTTGGCCTAAGAGAACTAAAATTTTGTCCAAGAAAACCCATAGAAGGGTGATTGGGAAAGAAAGCAAAGTGAGGCATATAATGGCAGTGTAAGTGTATAGTCCAACTTTTTCGTATTCCTCTGCTCCGAATGCTTGCCCACATAGTGTTTCCAATCCACCAGCCATCCCTGACTGCATGCAATATTTACATGATAAAAGAACTGAGTTTTTTTTTATGTAAATTATTTACGTATAACAGTAAATAAGTATTTTTATTCTTTTAAAATATAAGAATATAAAAGAAAGTTAAATAACTCTAGATTCTCTTTTTGATCCTTTATTTATTAGATGAAAAACGTATTACATATTTTTTTTTTGTATTTTCAAACTATTGAATGTATTTATTTTATTTAATTATTTTTCATAAAATATTAAGAAAAATGGTGAAAGAATAATGTAAAAATATATTGTCTTACTTATAAGTTATAATTCATAAAAGTTGACCCAAAAGGCAAAATTTGACCCGTATACTAAGTTAATTCGGCCGTAATTTGGGCCCAAAACATGGCAAGGAATCTATCGTGAAGTTATTTTTTAATGTAAGATGCCTTTTTTTAATGTAACAATAAGATACCAAAATTTTCAATCAAGTGTTCGTTTAATTTGTATTTTGTGCAACTTTGTCACACATATCAATATATATTGAGATTATCTATAGCAAAGTTTTCCGAACTCAATTTGCTAAAAGAACACTTTTATTCAATGTCCCTTGACATTCTTTTATACAAACCCTAAATTTTGTAAGGACTTAAGTAAATAACCAGTTTAATTAAGCATTTATAACTAAATATTTATTATGTAATGTTCATATAAGTTATTTTATACTACAATTTTTCATATAAATTATGAATTATTTTATAGTTATTTTGAAAAGCTTATTAAAATAAGATAAAAAAAATAATTTATAGACATAACATTAATTATTTTCATAATTTTTCCTAAATATTTATATCATGGATATAAAGTATAAACTGTATTGCAAAACAAATTAAATTAGTTACAAACAAGTTACATAATTAAAAATTAAATCCTTACTAAAATTTTTGTGACTCCAATGAAAAAAAAATTCAACTAATTCGTTGTTCCAAATAGAATTGGATTCAAAATTCTTAAACAAGATCTTGCGAATGAAAAAGAAGAACATAATTCAAAAGGAAGATTTCATTAAAATTTAAAGTTGATTAATTTTGTTTTTCAACTAAAATTAATCATTAATAAAACTAGTAAAAACTTCACAGTAATAAAACATGGTTACAAATATCATTAAATTTGATCATTAATATATTTTTTTTTCTTTATTGTGTGAATAAATTCTTTCAAAACTACCCTCTTAATCATAAACTGATTTTAACAATGAATATAATAATAATTAATAATAAATTAGGGCAAAGTACTTACTAAAACACTAAAGCCAGAAACATTGGTGAGAGAGGTTGCAATAGCAACACTTGAAAGAGATAGCTGACCAAGATGACCAACCATTACCATGGACACCACTTGCATTAGATATTGCAAGACACTTGCAACCACCATTGGAGCTGCTATTCTCCCCACCTTCTTCACTTCCTCTATTGGGAAAAATCCAGTGTATTGGGAAAAATCCAAGTCCCACATCGACTAGAGATTAGGCAATTGAATAATATATAAGTGGAAAGCAACCCTTACCTTACAAGCCGGTTTTGTAGGGTTGAGTTAGGCTTAATCCACTATTCTAAGATGGTATCAGAGCCATTTAGATCCACTTTAAAAAATGGGCCACCCACCATTGATGCATGCCTCATAGGCATGAGGGGGTGTATTGGGAAAAACCCAAGTCCCGCCAATCCTAGATCATTAAAAAGGGCCACCCACCATTTATCCACGTACCAAGCCCAATAGTGCTGGACGTGAGGGGGTGTATTGGGAAAAACCCAAGTCCCACATCGACTAGAGATTAGGCAATTGAATAATATATAAGTGGAAAGCAACCCTTACCTTACAAGCCGGTTTTGTAGGGTTGAGTTAGGCTTAATCCACTATTCTAACATACCAGGGTTGCTTTCCACTTATATATTATTCAATTGCCTAATCTCTAGTCGATGTGGGACTTGGGTTTTTCCCAATACACCCCCTCACGTCCAGCACTATTGGGCTTGGTACGTGGATAAATGGTGGGTGGCCCTTTTTAATGATCTAGGATTGGCGGGACTTGGGTTTTTCCCAATACACCCCCTCATGCCTATGAGACATGCATCAATGGTGGGTGGCCCATTTTTAAAGTGGATCTAAATGGCTCTGATACCATGTTAGAATAGTGGATTAAGCCTAACTCAACCCTACAAAACCGGCTTGTAAGGTAAGGGTTGCTTTCCACTTATATATTATTCAATTGCCTAATCTCTAGTCGATGTGGGACTTGGGTTTTTCCCAATATCCTCCCTCATTCCTCTTCCCCTTTTAGAACCTTCTTCCATTGTTGCCTTTAATTTCTACACTCACTTTCAACTTATATATATAGCCTCAACTTCTGTATCTTTATTCTTATCCCTCTTCTTGTCCTCTTTTATACATATCATTACAAGTGAGACAACTTTGAGTCACCCACGCAACTATATCTTCAAATATAATTAATAAACACAATCAAACCATAATGTAGATATGTTGGACAAGAGACACGTGCGATTGCGATTTCCATGTCAGCTTAAGTTGGAAGAAAGAAGTTAAACCATTTTAAGACTGTAACTTTGTTAACATTCTATAACTTAAAGCATTAGTATGTCAAAATGTAGAATATATGAGCAAATAAAACTATATTTAAACCCTATATATACAACAATTAATCGATACCTAGCAAGTTGTATATGTATAATTAATGTATCAAAAATATTTTTCAACAAGCCTGTGCGTATATGTTATTAAAAATAAATCATAGAGTGGACCAATATGTGTATTGATCCGCATATGCATGCTTGGATCGTGGAGATATGTCTATTTCATGGGAATAATAATTTTTTTATTAATTAGGATCAATAATCATAATTAATTTTAAACTGTGATTATTTTTAACGAAGCATTGTTCAATTCTGGATAATTAAATAACAATAAAATACTTTTTCGAAAACAAATCCAGAGGGTTGTGTCCTTTTAGAGACAGTTTTCTGAATATTCTCACACAGTATTTTAATCGATATAGATTCAATATTGTAACAATATCTTAATAATAAATTGCTTAATTACCTGGGTTTTCCTCTTTAATTTGTTTTCGGGATTCTTTGTATCTTTCTGAAGATTTGTCTAATAGCTCCTACGAAACTTCATGCTTCATCATCATTATTATATGAAGAATTTTAAACGCACATCTTATCTTTAGGATGTATGAAGGGAATTAGAAGAAAAAGATTGAGAGGAAAAAAATAAATAAAGGACGAGTTTATATTTGTGTTTCATTAATTTAAAATTCTTCTATCTTAGCGAGTTAAAAAGGGTTTTATTGTTTATAATAATTTTAAGTTGTGTAATTTAAAATAACAAAAAATGGTAAAATAAATATTTGAATTGAGATCTAGGTTACAAAATTAACAAGCACTCAAAATTTGAAATCTATTAATAATATAAAGGGAAAAAATTCTGCAACAACTTTTTTTCTCAAAAACTCTTTGCAAATTTTTTTTTATATAAATATTATTATAAAAATAAATTTAAATAGTATAAAAATTAATCAATTTATTAAAAAGTATAAAATAAATACTAATAACTACTATATTTTGCACATATATATAAAATTTGTCTCCAATAATTATATTATATCAAAATTAAGGGAAAATTTTGGATTAAAATATTACATGTTTGGTTTGACTATTTTCAATAAAAGTTTATAAAATATTTTTGGTGTAAAATTTATATTCAAAATCATTTTCTATATATGAATTAGAATAATATTTTATTTTGTAAATATTTTATTTTTTTCCACTCTATCTCATATATATTCTCATTTGAATACTTTCATCTCATAATAGGTGAATTTTATTATGATAACATGCAAATGTCTCTTGTATTTTTTGTATCAAATGGACAATTTATTATCTAACAAGCAATAATTATATATCAAAATAAAATATATATTTTATCTTTATAAACAATATATATATACCAATTTTTTTCACTATTGTAAATTTAAATGTTTATTTACTTTCCTTATCGTTATTACACATATACTATTTTAATGTATATTCACATTTTCCTTATTTATCATATAAAAATATATCATAACCTAATCTAACAATATTTCATTATTTTTGGTTAATTTTAATCTATAAGGTATGATGGTATATTTTTCTCACATTTTATATTTTATAAACTCTCATATAATAACTCCTCCTCCTAATTCCCGAGTCTCATTCATATATATAATAAGTTACATCTTTATTTTATAAACCATCATCTCATAATCTCCTATCCTGAAATCCCTTTAATAAAGTTACATTTCATAACCTTCTTCTACTCTTTCTCGCAATATTTTGTATTATTTTTTTTAATATCCTTTTACAAATGAACAATGGTTTGGATATGATTGCGAAGAAGAACAACAAATAATATTAAAAGATATGAATAACCAAATTTTCCATTGTTTACGTTTTACGATATGTAAGTTTTATATCATCTTTCTTTACTTTTATATATAATTATTGGAAGTTTTCTTTTTATTTTATATTCTTGATAGTTTTGCTCCTCATATTTGTTGAGACTTCTTATTTTATACTCTTAGTTCTGCTTCTGATCTTTGTTGAAACGATTATGTTCTTAAATTTGTGTGTCAGTCATTTAATACAACAATATCAAGGATTTATTATAGTTGATATTTGATCATATTTATAATATTGTTACTTTTGTCATTATTGTTATTGGTTCCTTTTTAACGATCATCACGTATGTCAAATGTAACATTCAGTTTATATGATATTAAACATAATATTAAATATATATTTCTTATATATTATTAACATAAGTATATCATTAATAATATTATACATCAAAATAAATAAGATTTTATGAACTTATATACATATAATTAGCTATATTTATATTACATATCATTCTAAAAATATTTACAATGCAGACTTATTTACATATCATGTGTTTTCTATTTTCACTATAATATTTACATTGATGGTGGAAAAATTTATAATTGGATTAGCATGATTGACAGGTGGTAAAAAAAAGTTACTATACTAGGTCCATTTATAATAGTGAGAATTTCTTGGTTGAGAAAGAAAACAAATGAAGACAATCCAATGCCTTGAAATGTGACTAAGTTAGAAACGACATCCACACTCCAATTTTCTCAATGAAGACTGCAAAAATAACAACCGTAAAGAGACCTGAGATTGCGGGTAGATCCATCTATTTTGTAAATATATTTAAATATATAATTATATATACACATATATGTGTTAGATTTTCATTGTTATAATAAAATTTGAATTATTTTAGTAGTGACTAGTCAGGATAAATGAACATTATCATAATATCAACCAACAAAAGGATATTTTACCTTAAGTCCTTACTCATTTAAATTCCCAAGGTCAAACCTCCAACTATAAATTAATTCAAATTTTATTCTCTATGGCCATATAATAATATTTATCTTTATAATGTATGAAGAAATAATAACAAGACGAGTTTAGAATATTTTAACAAAACTATACTATAGCTAATATTAATATAAAAATAATTAAACTAAATAAATTTGAGTATTTTAATTATTTAAAATTTAATATAATATAGTTTACGTAAATGAAATGTATTAAATAATATTAATCAAATAAATGATAATGATAAACATCATAAAATAATTAAATAATATAAATTAACAACACCTTATAATTATTTAGAGTAAAAAGTATCATATATTAATCAAGTAAATAAGGTTAGGAATACCTCACCAAGTAAATACACATAAATATAACATAAAATAAATAACATAATAACATTAAAATTTAAATAAATAAGGGTCTCATCTCCCTTACCTTAATACAAAAGTATAATTGCTTTAGAGATAACTTAAAACTGCGTACAAGAATTTTTTTTCCTTCTTCTTATTCTTTATTTCTCTTTCTTCTCAATTCTCTCTTCACCCTCTCCCTCTCTCCCCTGCTGGTCCCCCTCCCCACTTTGCCTATTTATAAGAAAGTTTGTAATAATTATTTTTTTTCTCGTTTAATTGCTAGTTGAAATCGAATTGCAGTTACAATTCTTTTTTACTTAGGTAGTGTTTGTTTCCGGGAAAGTACTGTTCACGAGCAAAGAAAGGCGTGGAAAGTATCCGTTTGTTTCCCCTGATTTGGAACGAAGGAAAGGCGAAGAAAAGCGAGGAGAAGCATTGTTTCTCTCCTCGCACAAAAGGGAAGAAAGGAGGTGAAAGACACGTAGGATTTGTGAAAATCCGAAAATGCCCCTCCCATGCATGTGCCATGCAGCAGAGGAATCTCTGCCATTTCACGGACCGTCCTTGTCTCATGCATGCATACTGGCAGGAATCTCTACCATTGTTGACTGGGATTATTGAAGGAGCTTTGTCGTTGCGTTTGAAATAATAATATAAGAGGAAGCTCTCTTTGTGGTATTCTGGACAGAATTTCGGTTGAGTAATTTCGGTTGGTGTTGCTCACGTTCTTCACGGGTTGGTGCGTGGGTGATGGTGGCTGGTGGTGGCTGGTGGGTGTTGGTGGTGAGTGATTGTGGAAGGAGCTCCTCCATTGAAGGTTAGTTTGATGTCATTTGATATATATGAAGGAGCATAATCGATTATGGTTGGCTACATAATCGATTATGGCCTTCCATAATCGATTATGGGTGAGGCATAATCGATTATGCAAGACCATAATCGATTATGTGCCAAGCATAATCGATTATGCAGGTGGAACCCGGAACGGCCCGTTCCAAAATGCATTTTATGAGAAATATGCGAAATCAGAATGGGCCGTTCCACTTTTGGAACGGGCCGTTCTAGTTTTGGGCTTTGTGGATAAATTTCAACCCCAGAACGGCCCGTTCTGGTATGAGAACGGGCCGTTCTGGTATGAGAACGGGCCGTTCTGGTATGAGAACGGGTCGTTCTGGGTATGTCAAAGAGCCATGCAAAATGCGTCCATAACGGCCCGTTCTAGGCATATTAATTTGTTATTAATCCGTATATATATAACTATATATATATAATTAATATTTAATATATAATACCTTAAATAATTATATTAAATATTAATATTATATATATTTTAACAATGAGTATGGCAAGTTAAAGTATAAAAGAGGGATAAAACGTTAAAAAAAAATTAATTTAAAATAATTTTAATAAAATTTATTTGTTATTAGTGTATAAGGTTAAATTAATATCTGTATCACGTTAACATAAAAAGATAATATTACCAAAAAAAATCACAAAAAAGATATAAAGAATTAAAAAATTATAAATATAGAGATTAAAAAGATTCATCTTTAATGACAAAAAAGAATTAAAAAAAAAGTATAAGCACTAAAAAAAACTATTTTAAATTACAGGAATTAAAAAGAGAACTAAGTGAAATTATAAGGACAAAAGAAATATTTTAACAAGAAATTACTTTAATTCATTTTAAATAAAGAGAATATTGTGAATAACACTAAGAGTGTATTTGGATGAAAAATTTAAATAAAGTAATTTATTTATTTGAAGAATTTCAAATTTTTAGGTGAAATATTTTGTTTGAACGAAAAATTTACAAAGAATTTGAAATCTAAGTATTTGTGAAAATTTTTAAAATAGTAAAATTTCAAATTCTCCTAAAAAAGCAAGAATTTGAAAATTTTCATATTTTTTTCTTATTTTTCTTATATATTTTATCTTATCTTTTATTTCTTTGTGTTTTTAATTATTAAATATTTTTAAAATTATTAAATATTATTTTTTAAAATTATTAAACATTTAAAATTGGCAAATATTTTTTTTATAAAATTTAATTTAAAATTTTCAACATATGAAAATATTTTTAAAATCAATTTTACCGAATCAAATTATCATATATCCAAATTAAGATACATCTTAAAGAATTACAAATTTAAACTTTGTATATTGATATAAGAAACTTTTTTATGAGCCTTAAAATTAATGTCACATGGAGATAAATCGAGTGAGTGACAAATTATTGAAACCAAATTTGTAACTTAAAAATAAATAAAGACTAAAAAAAACATACAAAATATCTTTATTTGTATTTATTTTAATGGTGATTAATATTTATTTTATCATTAATCATATTAACATTAACATGTTTTTTTTAATAATAACCACATATACATTGATGTAGAACGTCGGCAGTGGATCTCCAGAAAAATTTGTGTTATGTATGCGACACATCCAAATCGGCTTAAGCCACTTTTCCAGAATAAGCATATACAAATCACACTACCAAAGTATTTTATACCATATAAAACCCTAACATATGCTCCCTTAAACTGAATTGCAATTTGCAATCAGTTTAGTCATATATACATTTAAAAATTCCCATTCTATGCCTTAACCTCTAGCAAGATTCCGATTACAGAGACTTAGTCATGATGTTAGCCACTTGTTCCTGTTTTTTTTTTTCCAGGACGCATAACTCACCAGTATTAAGTTGGGCACAAGGGTACAATAAGGACAGAATTTCGGTTGAGTAATTTCGGTTGGTGTTGCTCACCTTCTTCACGGGCTGGTGTGTGGCTGGTGGTGGCTGGTGGGTGTTGGTGGTGAGTGATTGTGGGAGGAGCTCCTCCATTGAAGGTTAGTTTGATGTCATTTGATATATATGAAGGAGCATAACCGATGATGGTTGGCTACATAATCGATTATGGCCTTCCATAATCGATTATGGGTGAGGCATAATCACCCATAATCGATTATGCAAGGCCATAATCAATTATGTGCCAAACATAATCGATTATGCAGGGTATTTTCGCTGACAGTGGAACCTGGAACGGCCC